GGTGAGGGGAGATAGGTCTTTGGAGATGAGCTGCTTACCCTACCTTTTCATTGTTTATTTATTTTTTCAATTCAGACCAGAGACTTAGGAAGCTGGAAGCCAGCTGGGAGTCCGCCTTGCCCTGTTCTTATATTTGATGGACAACCACGAGGCAAAGGGAGTCGTGGTTTTTCTGGAGCAGAGTGGGGACCAGAACCCAGTTTTCCTTTCCCCTCGTGCTGGTCTCTTCCTACATGCCGCTGCCTTTTCAGTTCCTGCAGTTGCCTGGGGCTACAGAACGTACAGAGGCTACAACGCCACTTTGAGTTGATACGCTGCCCGTGTGACCCGTCCTGTCTGTGTGGCTTTTGAAGGATAGTAGCTGGTGGTCAAGAAACAAACCGCTCATACGGACGCCCCAGAGGCACTCACCTGCGAGAACCTCCCGCGCACTGTGCTGTCCTCCCCCAGTTTACCGAACCACTTCCTGTTTCAACCCACTCACCGTCCTATTGTCTCCTCTGTCTTTGTCTCCTGTATTCTCTGAAATTGCTTTTATCCCGTCTTTCCTTGTTCTCTGCATGCAGATAGGAAATAAATGAAAGGTGTGTTTCTGCAAGAGATCTATTGTGTGTGTGTGTTGTTATGGATTCACAGTGCAGAGTCAAAGGGTCTCCAAAAAAAAGAAACTTTATAGTCCTTGAGGGTAAACAGCACTGCGTGCCTGAGAATGTCGTGTGTGTGTGTGTGTGTGTGTGTGAGTGTGTTTGGGAGATATGTGTATATGGGTTGTACATGTAAAAACTATGCTTTAAAATAAGAGGTTTAGCCCCGGCCAGTTTGGCTCAGCGGTTAGAGCATCGGCCTGCGGACCGGAGAGTCCTGGGTTCGGTTCCAGCTAAGGGCACGTTTGTCCCCAGCCCCGATTGGGGTCGTGTGGGTGGCAGCCACTCAATGTTTCTCTCTCGCATCGATGTTTCTCTCTCTTCTTCCCTCCCTCCCTCCTGCTCTATCTGAAGATAAATGTGAAAATGTCCTCAAGTGAGGATAAAATAATAATAATTATTATTATTATTTTAGATTTAGATAGAACGGAGATGTTGGTGTGGGAAACAAGTGCTAGGAGGCTAATTGTTGGCATGGGGTTCCATCTAGAGGGGGATCCATCAAAATCTGGGATGGATCGCCAAGTGGCAGAAAGAGCTGAGACTCTGGGACCAGAATACATAGGTTTAATTCCAGTCAAGCACTTATAAGCCAGTATGAATTGAATAGTCTGCCTAACCTCTCAAATGCCTCCTCTGTAAAATCAGGATACTTATAGTATTTACGTCCTAGAGTCATGAAATGAGGTAAAACACACAGAACACTCAGTCTGGTGGCCCTGTAGGTAGCAAGTGGTCAGTGCCACTTATCCCTCATCATGGGGGCATTGCCCAGAAACAAAGTTCCCGAAGGTCAGACAGGGTTCGCGCTGGATAATAGCACTTCAATCTGGTGTTGAGGTGCTTGCCCCTCAGGCACAGCCTCCGAGAATGAGTCTTTGTGGAGAACATGGAGAACCTCACATTCAAATGCTTTCACTGATGAAAGACCCAGAACGCACCCAGATTGACTTTCCCAAAGCCACTCAGCATGAGCAGCAGAACCTGGTTCAAGAGGTTCAAGACTCACAGGCCCCGTTCTGTTCTATCACATGTCATTCCTGACAGCTGACCTCCAGTCCCTGGCCTCACCAACACACCTCCACTGTGCACGCATTCGTCCATCCATACTTTCCTGACCAGCTACTGTGTTTGTACTTCAGGATCAAACCAGACACGGTCCCTATGTTCACGGAGCACACAGAAGGGGGAAACGGTCTTTGATAAAACAAACTAAATGCATGACGCAAAAATAGCGTTGCAACCGGAAGGTCAAGTGTCCAGAGACAAGGCACCTGTCTGTGCCACTGTGCGTCCTCATCACTTAGAGCAGCCCGGTCGCCGCGGGTCCTGATGAACATCCGTTGAATGAACGTTGGCGAACGCGCTGGGTTGCGTGCAGCATTTAGAAGTGTTAGATGAGAGGGTGGATCATGGGCAAACTGACCTGCTCTTATTGGTCAGGGAAGGCTTCCTTCAGGAAGGGATGCTGAAAGGTGAGTGGACACTAACCGGATGAAGCAGGAGAGGGCGAGTGATGGGGACCAGCAGTGTGGTCGTAGAAATGGACAGGAGACTCGGAGCAAAGGAAAACACAGGTGCAGGGGCACCAGCTCCGGCAGCCGTTTCAGGGGAAGCGGTGATGAGACGGGCTCGTTGCAGCATTAACCACCCTGCCTTATATTCCAACAACAGTCTCCGGTCGGCCACACCTCTGTGATCAACACACACTGTCGATCATTCACAATGGCAGGGAATAGTATCCCAACTTGAGCTGAGTAACCTGAGGTCTGTCGTTTTTGCATGTTGTTACAGTTACACATCTAAACGTAGCCCTTGTGGGGCTTTCTCCAAATACATGGGACCTCGCTCAGCACCCTCACTGGCTGGCAAGGCAGAGAGTGCTGTCCCCACAGCATGCGTGGGCAAGAAGCCTCAGCAAGGTTAATTGGCTGGACTGTGGCCGGCCAAGTTGGGATGTAAAGCTACTTCTTTCCTATGAACTGAATTGGGCACCCCCATTCATATGTTGATGCCCTAACTCCCAGTGTGTATTTGGAGATGGAGACTATAAAAAATAATTAAGATGCAGTGCGGCTATAAGGGTAGGCCCTGATCCAATAGAATCAGTGTCTTAATAAGAAGACACATCAGAGAACAATGGTCTCTCTCCCGCTCTCTCCCTCTCTCCACCTCCACCTCCAGCTCCATCTCTGTCTTTCTGCCTCTCTGCCTCTCCACAGATGCTCAGAGGAAAGCCATGTGAGGCAGAGTAGCCATCCACAAGCCTGGAAGAGAGCCCTCCTCAACACAGGGGACGGATCTTCCTGACGGATCTGAGAATCTGGCCTCCAGAACTCAGGAATAACTTCCTGTTATTTAAGGCACTGGCCTGTGATACTGTGTTACAGCAGCCCTAGCAGACTCATATAGTCTGAAGATATATGTGCTATTGTTATACACGGTGACACAGCTTTTTCCTTAATGATAAAGAGGGACAAGAACCTGGGCCATCGAGGTGTCAGTCCTAGGTTTCTTCTGTGGGCCATACTTCCTGCCACTGACAACCCCACTAACCGAGGGGGTGATAGCAGGGTCAGTGACCAGGCAGCATCCTAATCCCACCCTTTATTTTGGGGGAGACCAAGGGGTGGGTAGCCATGGACTTCAAGGTGTGGGCAGAGCGAGTGGCCCGTGATTGTCCTGGACCCAGGGATGCTTCCAGGTCTGGGAAATTCAAACGAGCACCTTCTGCGGGGCTGAGCGTGATCAGAGAGAAGCAGGGCTGTGGGGCCTCTGCCTCCGGACGGCTGAGCTCCACCCGCTGCCTCATCTGCGTGTACGGCGTGTGTATGCCTCACTCCAGGTGCCCTCTGGGCAAACACCCAGCACCCGGAGCAGGGCCGGCACCTGCTCAATAGCTACGTGGGCTTCAGTGTTACTTAACCTCTGTCTTCCTGCTTTCAACTCATCTTGAAAGTGGGCTGAGTGACCTGCCTTGCACAGTGCCAACATGATGCCTAGAAGTCAGCAGAATTATCACTACGATCAATGACTCCGAGGACTTCTGCTTTAAAATGAAGATTGTAGAATTGAGTCTTTAGCCCTTTTTGCCTTGGGCTGAGAAAGTATAAAACATTCATTCTAAGGTGTCTTCCCCACAGAGACAATAATCTGATAAGCCATTTGGTGTCTGGGCTGGGTTCCTCTTGGTGCTGCTGTGTGCAGAAATAGCAGAATGCTCATCCCTTTTAAGGTCGAAGTTCATTGTGTTTTGGGGAAAAAATTCTTTCCCTGAAACATGTAATAGTATTCCGTATGTGTGCATGTAAAATCCACCCTAGTCTGCATGCTTGGTCCTTCAATGGCACAAACCCGACCCTGAAGTCTGCCTACTGAGGGAAACCGATCAGGGAGGGGGAGCAGGCAGGCCTGTCTTTGCAGTAGGCTTAAACTCAGAAGCATAAGCATTCAGACAGGCAGAGGAAGGAAGGAGCATGCTGTACCCACCTGCCACTGCTGATGAGGGGCTTATTTCTAAGACACACACAGCACAACGCACACACCATGCGGGGAGAAAACAGAAGACATAGATCACACATTTCAGATGGTTGGTGGACATCGTTTGGCCAATGTCAAAGCCGAAAGCTTGTTCGGGGTCTGATGTGCACGGGGGAAGGTGAATCCCTTTTCCTTCTACTCACCGGACACTTCCCTATCACCAAATGTCAGCAAATGAGCAAATACACACACACGAGAAGGCTCACAACAAGCTGGTCCGAGGAGATGGACACAGCAGTGTGGGAAGGTCAGTGGGAGAAGGAGCGGGATCCCCAGGGAGGCCATCACGGCTCTGGAGACCTCTCTGTCCACCTGGGAGAGAAAGACCTCCAGAGAAGGCTTTGATGCCCCAGCTGTGGACAGAGCAGTCCTCTTGTTGGACTCAGGACTGCTCCATTCATTCCAATGAATGAGGACACAGCATAGCAATCGACAGGAGAAACATGATGGCAGCAGTTGACTTGACTTAAAACTATAAATACACCCCCCCCCAAATATAGACTCTTACTATAAAAGGTATCCAAAAATTATATCTAATTTACCTTCTAGACCTTTACATAGTATTACAATTGAACTGTTCCCTGAGTCTGTAAGGTGCAGACCTTGCCGTTCAGTAGGTCAGGAGATATCAGTTACACTGTAAACAGCACTGTATCACACGTGAGGACAATGACACGGAGAAGCATTTTGCATCTAAGGCGGGGGGTTGAGCAGTACCGATGGACAGAGGCCAAGCAGATCATGCTTTTCTCCCTCTCCAGTCCCTCGATCCCCTCCCATGGCCCGGCCCACTGAACCCAGGCTTCCTGCACTCACCATACAGTGTGATGCTGGCATTGGTGTTCCCCAGCTTGTTTGTGGCCACACAAGTATAGTTCCCATAATCCTTTTCTGAAACATTGAAGAAAGTCAGAGTGGATATGCGCCCTTTATTCTCGATCCTCATGCCGTCCAAGCCGGTGGCCAGCCTGCAACGAGACAAGTACTGCTGGTCTGGGTCTACAGATGGAGCGAAGGAGCCAGCAGAGGTGCTGGGAGAACTGATACCACAGATCAGCCTGCACGGAGGCTTCCCCGCACAAAACCCTGCCCGCCGTCTAACCCCGTTCCTGGAACTCAAGCCCTGAGCACCACGCCTCCCGTTGGGAGGCAAGGGGGAAGGAGGCTCACGCTCCAAAGGCTAAATGACTGGCTTCTCGTCAACAAAGACTGTCAGGTACAACTCATCTCAGATTCAGAAAGAAGCTCAAAATCATGTCCACTTCCCAGCTTCCTCCATTGGTTGTTTCTGGTTCTAAAAGGAGACCCTTACAAAGGCCACAATGCATGCTGGTTTCACCGTATCTTGGTCCTTCACGTCATCACTCCCCTGCCATGTGGGAAAGGGTCCTTCGGCCCTGCTCCGGACATGCCCGTTTTCACTGTCAAGGTACCTGGTATCTTCCTTGAACCACTGAAACTCCGCTGTCGGCACGGCCGAGGCTTCGCAGCTCAAGATGCCCTTCTGGCCCACGGAGACACCGGTGTTCTTGGCTTTCGAGATATAGGGAGGGTCTGTGGGGGGAAGGCACAGTGATTCCGTGAAATGGATACAAGGCACATTCAGTCACCTGGTGTGCGAATGGATTTCTTACGGCACCCTACCTTCCCAGTTAAATAGCCATCTATTGTAGGGGGGGAAAAACAAAACAAAAACTTCTTGCTTGAAGATATTGCATTTACCCCAGCATCTTCTTTAGGGCTTCAAACCAACTCAAAGCTAACAATTCTCCCCACTGGCTAAAGCTGTGACGGTCACAGGAAGGCTCCAGGGCAGGGGAGGCAGTGATGGGCACAGCAATTGATCAAGTGTTTTCCTGTTGGAGACAACTTGGGTCTATCAGAAAATGGCATTGCCGTGGCCAGCGTGTCCCTTCATCCCTAGTCCGTCTTTCCCCCCGAGAACGACCAACTCACAGTTCACGGTGACGGTGACTTTCCGCACGTCGGGCGCCGCGACGTCATTCAAGGCGCTGCATTCGTACTCTCCGGACTGGTCGCGCTTGATGTCCGAGATGTCCAGGTACTCATCCTCACTCACGAAGACCTGGCCTTCTGGGAGGAGAGAAGCAGGGGAGCAGTCGTGAACCTGGGAGACCAGGGACAGCGCACATTCACGTCCAGAACCGGTCGGATGAGATAGGAAACGCTGTAGAAGTGGGATTTAAACATCACGGTCACAAAACCCCCTGTTAGCCCCCAGAAGATGGCATTTGAAGAAATAAATGTTCTGCTCGAGTCTTGGGTCAGCGTGCTTTGTCCAATTCACTTGAGCTTTTTAGACCAATTGATAATGAGATATTACTGTGCTTAGGTGAATGTTATGAGATAAACTGACAGAGTCCATGTGAAACAGCACAGCGCGGTACTAACCTAGGGCATTTTAAAGAGAGTTGTCATGGGCAGTAATATAGTACAGCTGTGGGGACACCGTTAGTCTGTTAGTATGGCCATCTCAATGTTTCACTATGTAGAAAGGCCCTTCACTGCACAATGCAAATGACTACTGTGTGTAGGACAAATGAGTGACACTTAACAATTTACTACAAATAAGTGCCAGACAGCTGTTTGGTTTTCGCTGTGCAGGAGAAGATAAACTGAAGAATGAATAAATAAAAAAGGACTTTGTGACCCTATGCTTTAGGTGTTCAATAAAATTTGCCAACATAAAATAAACATGCCCGGCCAGTGTGGCTCAGTGGTTGAGCATCAACCCATGCACCAAGAGGTCGCCGGTTTGATTCCCCATCTCGGCACATGCCCAGGTTGTGAGCTCAATCCCCAGTGGGGGACGTGTTGGAGGTGGCCAATGGATGTTCTCTCTCATCCATGTTTCTATCTCTCTCTCCTTTTTTCCTCTCTCTTTAAAAATCAATTTTAAAAAAATTTACTTTTTTTTTTTTCAGTATGAAAATGTGAGCCTTTATTGGCAAGTAATTCACCAAACAAAAAGCAAATGAAAGCCAAATCTGTGGGTCAGATGCAAACAAAAACACTTGAAAATAAAGGGTCAGTAAAATTGGCCACATAACTAAGAGTTGCCACCAAAATGTTAGCTGGCAGAGCGGTCTGCTACTCTGAAAGCACCGACATCATGTTGGGCTGAGTGCATTCTTGCCCAAGGTGAATAAGCAAACAGTGCTAATGGTGTCTTGAATCACGGAGCTGTAACAAGTGTCCTGCTCAAAGATCATCTTCAATAGCTGTAGCTGTCAGTTCAGTAGATCCAGTGGTTCCCATAGATCGAAAGGCACAGATGTGTATGTTATTTAAGTTCAGTTACTCGTACTTAAAGTCAGTGCTGATTTGAGCTACTGGAGGAAGGCAGGACACACAGCAACGTTCTTCCACAATCAGGAGGTAAAGGGCAATACCTAGCCCCAACGAGCGTCAGAGCTAGTGGCTAACTCAACAAAAGTACTGAACAAATAATCGTGAACAGCAAAACTTGGCAAGAATCCCCGATACTTTTCAATGGAAGAATGTGGTCGCAGTTCTGTGATCTTTCATACTTACAGGGACTTTTGCTAAACATAGTACTCAACATCTAAAAAAATTAGAGCACTTTGTAATATTTAACTCAATTCCCTATTATATTCCTTTCTGGTAAAAAAAAAAAAAAAAATCCCAAAAAGGAGGCCATCTCTCAAACATGAGGAGTGACTTCATGGAAGATTTTAACAGAAACAGTAGAATCCAAACATCCATAGGAGTATGAGCCCCTTCAACAAATACACACTTATTAGAAAAATGCCTGCCAATGCTCAAAATATTTTAGGAATAACTCTTTTAAGGTTACTTTCAAGCATATGACATTCTTTTGAAAACTTCAACTGTGGCCAACTTGGTTCTTTTGAAAGTGAAACTTGATATCTGTAAGTTGAAAGTACATTTAGAAAATAAAGAGAATCATCAAGCTGGATATTGTTGTTTTTTTTTTTTAATTTATTTTTGTTACAAATGTTTATCTTTTTTTTCCCCATTAACACCTTCCTCCCCATCCCCCCACCCCATCTCCAGCTTTGTTGTCCGTGTCCATTGGTTATGCATACATGCATATAAGTTCTGTGGTTTATGTCTTTCCTCCCCCCACCATCCCCTCTTCTGAGGGTTGTCAGTCTGTACCCTAATTCCACATCTTTGGTCTGCCCTATTCCTCAGGCTGTTATGTTCATTATATTCCACAAATAAGTGAGATCATGTGACATTTGTCTTTCTCTGTTTGGCTTGTTTCGCTTAGAATAATACTTTACAGGTCTCTCCATGTCGCGTGAAAGGATAAGAGATATATTTTTTTACAGCTGCATAGTACTCCATTGTGTATAAGTACCACTGCTTTTTTATCTGTTCGTCTACTGATGGACATTTGGGCTGTTTCCAGATCTTAGCTATTGAAAGTAGTGCTACTATGAACATGGGGGTACATATACTCTTTCTGGTTGGTGTTTCAGTCTTCTTAGGGTATATATCTAGAAGTGGGATCACTGGGTCAAATAGCAATTCAAGTTTTAATTTCTTGAGGTAATACCATAGTGTTATCCATAGTGGCTGCACTAGTCTGCATTCCCACCAGCAGTGTACTAGAGTCCTGTTTTCTCCACACCCTTGCCAGCACTTGTTTGATGATTTGTTGATGGCAGCCATTCTGACAGGTGTGAGGTGATACCTAATTGTTGTTTTAATTTGTATCTCTCTGATGATTAGTAACGATGAGCATTTCTTCATATGTCCCTTAGCTATTTGTATGTCCTGTTGGGAGAGGTGTCTACTTAGCTCCTCTGCCCATCTTTTTAATTGAGTTCTTTGTCTTTCTTTTGTTAAGTTGTATGAGTACTCTATATATTTTGGAAATTAACCCCTTAACCGATGTATCATTGGCAATTATGCTCTCCCATACAGTGGGTTGCCTTTCCATTTTGATGGTTGTTTCTTTTGCTGTGCAGAAGTTTTTAGATTGATGTAGTCCCATGTGCTTATTTTTGCTTTGTTTCTGTTGCCTAGGTGATGTATCATTGGAAATTCTGCTGCTTATTATGTCCAAAATTTTGTTGCCTACATTTTCTTCTAAGATTTTTTATAAATTCACAAGTCACATTTAAGTCTTTTATCCATTTTGAGTTTATTCTTATGTATGGTGTAAGTTGGTGGACTACTTTCATTTTTTTGCATGTAGCTGTCCAATTTTCCCAACACCATTTTTTAAAGAGGCTGTCTTTACTCCACTGTATGCTCTTGCCACCTTTGTCAAATATTAATTGAGCATAGTGTCTTGGGTTCATTTCTGGGTTCTCTGTTCTGTTCCACTGGTCTATATGCCTGTTCTTGTGGCCAGTCCCAGGCTGTTTTGATTACAGTGGCTTTGTCGTATAACCTGATATCTGGAATTGTGATCCCACCTACTTTGTCCTTCCTTTTCAAGATTGCTATGGCTATTTGGGGTCCTTTTTCATTCCATATAAACTTTTGAAGTATTTTTTCTAGTTCTGTGAAGTATGTCATTGGTATTTTGATGGGGATTGCATTGAATCTATATATTGCTTTGGGTAGTATGGACATTTTAATGATGTTAATTCTTCTGAACCATGAACAAAGTATGTGCTTCCACTTTTTTATATCTTCTCCTATTTCTTTTTACAATGTCCTGTAGTTTTCTGCAAATAGGTTCTTTACTTCTTTGGTTAAGTTTATTCCTAAATATCTTAAGTTTTTTTGCTGCAATGGTAAATGGGATTGTTTTTTAAGTTTCTCTTTCTGTGACTTCACCATTGGTGTATAAGAATGCTGTCAATTTCTTGATGTTAATTTTGTATTCTGCTACATTGCAAATTCATTTATTAAGTCTAGTAAATTTTTGATGGAGTCTTTGGGGTTTTCTATATATAGTATCATGTCATCTGCGAATAATGACAGTTTCACTTCCTCCTTTCCAATTTGGATCCCTTTTATTTTTTCTTCATGTTTGATTGCTGTGGCTAAGACTTCCAGTACTATGTTAAATAAGAGTGGCAAAAGTGGGCAACCCTGTGTTGTTCATGTTCTTAAAGAAAATGCTTTTAGTTTTTGCCCATTAAGCATGAGGTCTGCTGTAGGTCTTTCATATATGGCCTTTATTATGTCAAGATATGATCTCTCTATTCCCACATTGCTGAGCATTTTTATCAGAAATGGGTGCTGGATTTTGTCAAAGGCTTTTTCAGCATCTGTTGATATGATCATGTGGTTTTTATCCTTCATTTTGTTTATGTGGTGTATGACATTTATTGATTTGCAAACATTGTGACAGCCTTGCATCCTTGGGATGAATCCCACTTGGTCATGGTGAATAACTTTTTTGATATATTGCTGGATCCGATGTGCTAGTATTTTGTTCAGGATTTTGGCACTTATGTTCATCAGGGATATTGGCCTGTAGTTTTATTTCTTTGTAGTGTCTTTTTTTTGGTTTTGGAATTAGAATTATATTGGCCACATAAAATGAGTTTGGAAGTCTTTCTTCTTCTTGAATTTTTTGAAATAGTTTGAGGAGAATGGGTATTAGTTCTTCTTTGACTGTTAGGTAAAACTACCCCCATGAAGCCATCCAGGCCTGGGCTTTTGTTTGCTGGGAGAGTCCTGATTATGTCTTCAATTTCCTTAGTTGTTATTGGTCTGTTCGATTTTTTTATCTCTTCCCAGTCCAGTTTTGGGAGACTATGTGTTTGTAGAAATTTGTCCGTTTTGCTTAGATTGTCAAATTTGTTGCCATATAATTGTTCGTAGCATTTGTTAACAATCCTTTGTATTTTTGTGGTGTCAGTTTTTACTTCTCCTCTTTCATTTTTGATTTTGTGTATTTGGTTTCTCTCTCTTTGTTTCTTGGTGAGTGTAGCTAAGGGCCCATCAATCTTGTTTATCTTTTCGAAAAACCAGCTCTTTGTTTCATTGATCCTTTGAAATATTTTGGGTTTTTTTTTTGGTCTCTATGTCATTTATTTCTGCTCTGATCTTTACTATTTCTTTCCTTCTATTTGCTTTGGGGTTTTTCTTTTGTTTGCTTTCTAGTTCTTTAAGTAGTG